TTAAAGGAGATGGGTTTATTATGTATGTTTGATGGGGAACAGTATATTTTTAGTGTTTTGGTGTGTTCTTAAAACTTCCAACAACAACCACATGGTGTGTTGGTAGAAAATTTTTTGCATGGGGTGTTTGAAGAAGCCTTCTTGCCAGATCCTGTCCTTCAGCTCAGATAGTGCAACCAGCTACTACAGTCTGGTCAATCCCATTTCACCTCCAGTTACTTTCCTTCCTTTGTGACTTCTTGCCAGCACTAGACATCTTTCTGCTCTTCAGCCCAGAGTATTATCTTTATTCTCTATAGGAACTAGCTAAAACTTAAAAATACTCATAGGATGATGCATTTAAGAACATCCATAACACTTTTTGCATATTGAGGCAATATTGTTTCTATTTAGTCTTCAGTATTTTTAACAGTAGAAGTTTCCACATCATTGTCATTGTTGTAGAATTTCCTTCCTTGCTTATTTTGGCTTCTTTAATTGAAAAAAACTTGGAATTCCTGAAGCCTAGTTCTATTACCTGCATTTAGCTCCTGTGAACACAGATCCTTTTCCTTGTTTATTTAACCAGCCATATCAATGGTAACAGAGTCCCATTTGGCAGATCTTGAATTCCCACCCTGCCCTACATGAGCATGTGCTTGTTCTATTCTTACATAATCAGGGAAATGAATGAAAACAGATACCAACAAGACTTTATTGTATCAAATTTCATCCACATGAATTTTTGTAACTAAAATCAGAAGAAATGTTCCCTTCCCATGTTAAACTCTCAAGTTATATCTGTTTAACAGGGTTTCTTTGGAAAAGGAAAATATACTTAGAAGGGAATCTAAAACTGAATGTGAGAAGCAAAAAGTGAACTCAGTGACCCCTGTCTATTGTTTTTAGTATGATGGCTGTAGCAATGTTTTACGGCAAACACCATTATCTGAGAACTATGAACATTCATACTTCGATAGAAAACTGGGAACGATTTTGTCCTTGAAGTATTGGTTCAAAGGCATTGAGGCCCCATCTTCCTCACTGCGCTGGGGCACTGGTGTGTGGACTACCTTATAACTACAGCCCTTTTCAAACTAGAATTCCCACATCTCTGCTACTAAGGGGAAGAGGAGCAGCACAGGAGGTCAGGTCTACAAGGCTGTCCCTCTTAATGAACTCCACTTACCTGTGATCAGCCTTCTTTTCCAGAGCTGAATGGAAGTTCATGAATACATTCATAGTATACCGACACACCCACAATCATCCATGGGTCCTTGCAACCAAAGCCTGTGTCTCTAGGGGCACCATAACTGGGGAAATAATTAATGCCTCTGTTCTGTAGATAACAAGAGCAGAGGTATTTTAGCCTGGGTTCTGGAGTAGCTGTAATGGCTACCAATAATATCACTGCCCTTGACACTGAGATTTTGAAAAAACTTCTTTATTCATTCTCATAGGCTTGGCATAGAAATTTCTGCATTCTCCATTTCCTTTGTGTCCATGACTGCGCTGTTCAGTGTTGTCAACAGAAACGGGCAGAGCTCCTGGATAGCTGTGTGATGCTCATATCACCTCACTCTTCACTCCTCCCTAAGAGTGAGGCTTTTCTGCCTTTATAGGCAAAGGGAAGAAGTGGGTGCTTGCAGTTGTACCACAGAGCACTCTAGGACAGGCCAGCTGATCCTCTACAGGTCCATGATCCTCTGCAGATGACGAGTGGTAATCCATATGTAGCCACCGTACTTGGTATTACTTGGTTGCCAAATTCACCAACATGAAGCCCATTTCTAGTCTGCAAAATGAGGTCTCAAAATGTTGGATACTTGCAGTCTAGGTGCAAAAGATTGTTAAATTACATTTTCAGTGTAAATGAAACATGTTTCCTGCCTCAGGAAAGAATTAGAGAGGCATATGTTACCTGGCAAAAAACCCCAACCCTGTGGGGATGGCTTGCTGTTCCTATCTAGCTTATTGAGTCCTTGCTGCCCTTCCAGGTTCCTCCCTCTACTGAGGTGGGCAAAAATAGGACATTTTGAGTGATTTTGAATTTAAATTTTGAAGGGGTTTGAAAAACACCAGCATAGCGAGGACAGAGAGAATTTCCTGCTGGTCACACGTCCCTGTGAACAACCTGTTTCCCTTCTAACTTGTGGGAAGGGTTAAAAATAACACATGGTGCACTGCAGATGAGGATAAGAGCAGAAACAAAGGAAGATAGGAGGAAAACAGCTAGATAAAGTGAGATGCCTGGCTACAGTGAAACCTCTGATACAAGTGAAGCGTTTTTTTGCACAGCCACTCCTCTGGACAGTGTAAGAGCTGGCCCTGCAGGGACTCTAGGGTGGTACCAGCAAGAACATTAGCAAGTTCTTGTTACTCAGCTATACAAAATGGGAATGTTTCTGTGGCCTATCACTACAAAAGAGAGAATTTACTTGTTTTCCACTTTTCCTCACCAAAATGGGTGCTTGAAAGGATTTCAATCAAATTTCATAGGAAAGTTGACCCTCATAGGCAACGTGTAGATCAAGTACTTGGAATCAATGCCAACACTGCCAGAAAGGGCCTCTGCTGGAATATGCTTAAGGAGGGATGCTGATGACTGGAAGTGAGACCACTGTGGGTGAGCAGAGACCTGGAAAACATGATCCACAAAAAACACTGGAAAAGTGAGGTTGCTTAATCTACAAAAATCTAAGACGAACAGTATGATTAATCTTCAGACATTTAAATGATCAATATTGAGAAAGGTAGCAATAGTCTGTTTTCATGTACATTCACAGAAGGGCAAGAAAAAGATAAATTAATTGGAAACATGGAGGGTAATGATTTTTATATTAGTGCAAGGTTCTTAAGAACAGCACTAGTCGTGGAATGGAGATATTGCAAGAGATGAGGCAGAATCTTCCTTAATGGCAATTTACGAGAATCATAAGCTCTAGAGGAGCTAGTCTGGCTTTCCTCAATGGGTAAGGAGATGGTCTCAATGGCCTCCTTCCTGCTGCATTTCCATGGCATCTGTGACATTCCTAACATCAGTTTAGCTCCATTCTTTTTCAATCTTCTTGCTTCTGGTTTTGACATATGTTAGCCAAGAGCAATTAAAATCAGTAGTGTTACTTAATCATCACACACTTTAAAATTATTTGACCAAAGTGAGCAAAAAGCTAGAATTGCTACTTGCAGTGAGTAATAGCTGTTTGTCAGCTTTAATAGCTACTGTATAATTCGTGAAGATAAAAGGCTACCAAAAATGTTATTCCTTTTCATTTTGAGAAGAACTAAATATGGCCAACATGCAGTGGCTGAGTGTGTGTGATGGAGGTGGCAACACATGGCTCTGCCTCCTTGGAAGTGATGAAGACAGGTCACCAAGGCCTTAAATCCCCTTATTTTAGTTACCTGCTTTACAGCATCTGCATGCTGAGACAAGCAAAATAGAATGTCTGGATGAAAAAGAAACAAACACAGGATTTTTCTGGAGTTTATTTTCCTCTGTAATTTTCTGAGAGAGAGGTTTGTGGAAGTCAGTGTTTCTGCTCCACTTACAAGGCATATTTTACCAGCTGCCTGGGTCAGGTGCTGCCTTTTAGGCTGCTTTGATAGACCCGTATTGTGTTTGATGAGCAATTTTCAGGCTGTGCCTTCTGGATATTCTGTCCACCTGTATTCAACACTGGTGTAACACATCTTTGAGCAGGTACGCACATCAGCATGACAAGACAACTGCAGCCAAGGTGGGAACCAGGAAAGAGATACAGCCCACAATGTTACCTCTGCAAGTATCTCTGCTTTTCCTGGCACCCAAAGGGTAATCACTGACTGTGGTTCTTCTCAGGGCTTGTTCCCTATCTGCAGCCTGGACCCTGCAGAAGGTGCAATGCTTTCCCTGCAGCCACCAGTGAGAACTGGGTACCACGTGGTCTCTGCCCTAGACAGTCTCTCTAGGAAGGCAAGTAGCCCAGTATAATGCCCTGTTGCTTTTTACTGAAGATTAGTGCACATACTTCTAAGGAAGTTACTGCACTTCATTTTCTTAATACCATCTTTTATAAATTCTTCAAAAAAAGCCTCACAGTATCCAAGGATACATAATTTTGGATTAAGAGGTATTGAAACAAATGTTTTATGTCACTTCCTGGAAGGTCCAATCTGATGATTTTCTTAATATGTGTATTCTTATATGTGTATTTAAAAATAAATAATAAAGATTAAATGAGTACAAAATTTAAAAAAAAATTAAACCACAAACAAACATCAACAACAAAAATTAATCAGAAGAGGGAGTATTTCCAGTAGTCCTAATAACTTTGACACCAACCATTCATATTTCTTTACATTGCAGAGGGTGTTCAGCCTCTGGCCTCTTCTAGGAGACTGTGTTCAGCCAGGTGTGCTGCCTGACCTTTGACATCCTCCAAGCAGCCTGCAACAGTGAGCCTGCAAAGGACAGTTCTCTGCTTGTTGCAGCCTTTCATGACCATATCCAAGAATTTCCTTTTTTTTTTTTTTTCCCCTTTGCTGCATGCCTCCTCAGAAATTCAGCCATGTTTCTTAACCCTGCAGATAATTTTAGATCTCTGACCTGCCAGAGGCCCTGGCAAAGAAAGGGCTCTGCCGTTTGGTAGCCTGTTGTACCTGAGGAGCCCTTTGCCTGTGTTTGGAATGAGGAGTTATTTTTGATAATGTTTCTGATGTTAGCCATGGGTTCTCCTGGAGCATTTCCAGGTTTTCTAAATGTTCTTTTGTCTTCTCCCTGTTTTAGTTTGTTTTATTTTTTCTATTTTTTTTTGTGTGCTTATATCACTCTGCTTTCCACCAGGTTGGAAATGGAGAACACATCTTAGAGTTCCATGCACAAGATTCCCGTTTCCAGACTCACTGTCTGGCTGTCCTCAGAGCACTGTTGCCCATTGCAGTGAGCAGAAGGGAGTGCTGGTTGGGTGCTGCTCTGACCATGTAGTGCCACTGGTGTCCCTACAGCTGCATGGCAGAGCACTGCATCAGGTGAGTTATGCACCAGTTTAGAGCCTGACCTGGTAACAGTTTTTGTTCCCAGCTTCAATGGTGTAATTTGTATTTATCTCTGTTTTTAAAAGTAATATGTTTCAGTTTGAGTGAGACAGTTTAATACAAATCCCACAGTGCAGCTTTCACTCCTGTGGGAATAGGGGTAGTGGTGTGAGTTAGCAGGAGGTCAGCTTTTTCATCTGCTACACCCTTCCTGAATGACCTCGGGCAGGCCCTTCAGTCTCTTTATGCCCCAGTCTGTCTGGCTGTGCAGACAAGAGAGGAAGGCACTGCCCCCCCTCACAGCCCTTGCTCTTTCACAGTGAGAGAAGATACTTCTTGTGCAGAGATCCCCTTCTGCCTGTGTTTGGATGTAATGGTCTGACCATGAGCTCTAGAAACAACTGACTGTAACTGATACTAATAACAACACTAACACTCTGTGTACTTTTCAGTATGCCTGCATAAGGCAACATCTGTGTGTGTTTAGATAAGCTGGAAGCAGCTGGATTTGGCCTCTGCACTGGCTGCTGTGATCATAGTGCAGGTCTCTGCTGGTCAGTGTGTGTGCCGGTGGGGATGGCTGGGAACACCACTCTGTGTACTTTGCATTCTCTATATTCAGTGCCTGCTTTTGGCACGCTCATCTCTCTCACTTATGAGTGAGTGGGTGAGGAAGGAGAGGGCTGGGCGGAGCTGACTCCTTCACAGATGAACCATAAGGAGCACAGGAGCTGAAACACAATCTCCTCCTCCTTTCCCGCACTGTTTCACGGACAGCCTTGCTCACAGCTGGGAGGAGGACAGCCTCACCAGCAGCCTGAGAAGGAGTGAGGAGAAGGGAAGTTTTGTGCTCTTCACATTGAAGGCAAAACTTCTTTGCATAAACTCTGCTAACAGGTGAGTTTGATTTTTATCTGTTCGTTCTTGAAAGCAAGTTAGTTTTCCATCACCGAGCAGGTCTCACCCCTGGAGAGGTGGTAAGTCAGTTTTCTAGCTGAGTTGTTAAACCAAAACTGTGAGGTGCTCCAAGGACTCAACCAAAGCAATGTGTCCAAAAAATTCACAACTTCAAAATTAATTTCCTTGGCAAAGTTCCTGCTGGCAGGAACTTTGAATAAAGGTTTTCTCAAAAACACTTTCTTGAGTTCCAATTAGACACAAGGAGAGCTGAATGTTCAAGTTGTACTGATGAAAGGAAATTGTTAAGATAAACTGAGAAACTGTTTGTTGATTGCAGCAAGGAATCAGAGCAGTTGCCTGTAGATAAGTTCCTGGAGTCATTTTCAGAGAACTTACTATTACTGTGTGAGTTGAATAGATAGTAGATATTTTGAAGGACTAGTAAATGACTTAAGTAAATGACAAGCTAAGGCAACACCTAGCATGAAACTGCTATACCACATACCTTTGATGTGTGGGTGCTCTGTGTACGCCTATATAGTTTTGTCTTTGTATCTCAAGCATATGTCATTACTATACTTTCCAAACACTAAGCTGCTTTTCTTGCTGTTATTCAGAATCTGGCTTGCAAAACTTGAAATGTGAGGATTTGTTTAGAGAAATGAAGTCCATCAGGTGAGAAATTAATCTTTTTTTTCAATAGAATAAAACCCTTTTGTTCATTATTGTAACTTGTCCTTGTTGAGAACGCTTTTCCTGTTCTTGTCAGTCTTTGGAAAGAAACAACGAAAACAATTCACTGAGTGATGCTTTCTTCTTTTGTGTGTTGCATGAGGAGGGAAGCTGAGAAATAGAGAATTCAGAATAATATAACAGCTTGTCCTGTCCTCTTCTGTTCAAAACAAGTGCAGATATTTATTAATAAAAATATAAGGAAACTTAACAGTAAAGTAAGTAAAAATGGCTGCACGTAGGCTCATAAGACGTGACAGTGTCACTGTGAGCATTATGGGACTTTCTGAGCAGTCTGTTAGTCAGCACCCACTGTGACTTTTTCCACATTAGCACCCTGTGTTCACTCTGATCCCAGAAGAGCATAGTGTCTAACCACTTCTTCTTTCAAGTTTTCTTTAATCAAGAAGCCAGTAAAAGGTAGTCAGTCCTGTGTATTTAACACCCACTCTTTCATTTCTTCTTTGAGGAAACAAAATTTTCTACTGTCTTTGCCCCTATCCTTCCCACCTCTCCATCTTACTGCTGCTATGTTGTTCCCCCATATCAGGCTGTTCCTGCATATGCACTTGTAAAGACTTCCTGTTGGATGAGTAAAGAGGCCCAAGAGTGCTGTTTCCAGCTTATTTTACACCTGGTGCTATACAGCTGATACAGGTAAGATGATAACATGGAAAGTACATCCCCAAAGTTTTAGAGGCCTTTGCAGGGTCTAGGAAGAATACTGTAAGAAAATGCTGAGTTTAATGGATCAGACAAGTTGTTCTGTGACTGCAGAGGTGAAAAGGTCTGTATCACAGCATTGTGATTTGAATATCACAGTTTTAAATGAAGAAAGATTTGGTGGTTCCAATACCTCATTAAAAATCTTGTGCCACTTGAGACCTTAAGTGAGAGACATTTATTTCACTTTGTGGTCAGTGGACAAAAATTTACCCCTTTGTTCTGGATCTGAGGACTGCAAGCAATCTTACAGCATCAGGAAAAGAAGGAAGCGGGATATGGGGAAAGGGGAGAGAGGGGAGGAAAGTGAATCTCTCCAAAGCTAGGTACACACAGGTGTCATTGTACTGGATGTCATTGATTAGGGTGAGCCTGAGGCTGCTTGTGGAATCAGACAGACAGGAAGCTCAGCTGTGGCCAAGCAGAGTTGAACAGGGCCAGGTGTTCAAAGATGGGAGCATTAATGTAAATTTTCCTCACCTAACAAGCCTTGTGGATGGTGTCACTCAGATTAACCAGCTGATGCTCTAAATGCAAGTTTTCTTGGCATTGCAGTGAACAGTGCATGGAGAAGAAAATTTCCTGCCTGCCAGTTTTTCTAGTCCTGACCTGAGAGTGCCCTGGGGCTTCACTTCAGAGGGCTGCATTGTGTCAGTGTGGTGGTAAATAAAGGAAGTCATGTCCACTCATAAGAATATTTTCACAACTTAGTAATTATTTTTAAGAGAAGAATTGTGGAAAGAGAAGTCCAGACGTGGCAGCCTTGTGAGACTCATTACCTTATAATTAGCTGATCGTCTTGTCTAATGCTTGTTTTTCCTATAAAGCTTCTTCTGAGTGGCTTTTATTGCTTGTTATGCATTAATCTGCCAGCTGAAGCATTTGTAGCACTGCTGACCCTGACAGCTGGTGGCAATAGTTTATGAAAAGACACAGAACAGCTTGAATGTTTAGAAGAAACTGACCAATAATTTTAACTAATGGTATTAGTAAGCAACAGCAGCTAAGAAAAACATTGCAGTTTACTCTCTAAGGGGTACATCCACTGTAGTACTTTTTCACCACTAGAAACACCATTCTGAACTTTGTTAATAGCGTAGGAAAATAAAAGCTTTTTAGGCATTTTTAATCTGGAGGCTATAGCTAATTTGTCTGAAAAAGAGTAGATAATAGGTTAAGAACCTTGTTAGAAGGAGAGTAAGAAACAGGCTCTCCTGAAAGTATATACTCTGTTCTTCTCCATGGAGCCCTCTTGCCAGAAATTGTTTCTGTGGCAACAAACTTCTTTCCAGCTGGGTTGTCTTGGAGTTCGATCTGGGATAGCTTAGGCTCAGATCTGTCACCATGCCAGAATCAAATAGGAATGCAAAACTGATCTGACCTACATGTAACAGAGAGGACACTGCTGCTGGTACTGTTGCTACACGGGAGCTGTCCTGACATTCTCCACTCAGAAATTGCTACAGACAACTATTGGTGCTAGGATGAGCCTGGACTTCTGTTTCTGAATATCATTGCTTTATTCAGCAAGGTTTCAAGCTTCATTCTGTTATGTTGTGTCCTATGGGCCAGCAGTAAAAGACACAAATCTTTGAAGGGAGGTTGAGTTGCCAACAGAGGAAAGGGAGATAAATAACGAATGAATTACAAAAGCAAATGTAATTGAACTATCAAAGTTCAGTCACTTTAATGACACCTGAATAAAATACTAAAATTTCAGTAGGGAAGAATAAAAATGTTTCAGAGATCTCTTGGTTTGGCTTTCTTGTAACTCAATATTTTAGTAACCATTAGAATGTTACCATTTTTTATCTGGAAACATTTAATCTTCCATCTGCCAAGGAAGGAGAGTTTTTACTCTGTGGTGGATAATGATTTAGTGTCTACTCATGTCTAATTAGAGGGTGTATTTGGTTTATGTTCCATATTTAAGAACTGTTCAGATACAGCTTTTAAAACAGCAATTGTCTTTTAAGCTTATAAGAGGCTTAAACTAAAATCCCTAAGTCTATCATGTCAGAACATTATTATTTGAAATTTGAACTTATGTCCAAATTTCAGAGCTACTTTTACACCTCCACCCCAAAGCAGGACCTGGATTTCTGAACAGCTCTCAATTTGGAATCTCACATCTCCTGTGCCAGCTTTTCCATCTCAAGAGCTCATCAGAACTCCCCTGTAATGAGTGTTTGATTCTCTCCCTTTTCTCTAGTCAGAAGCATGTTTGGAAGTGTGAATGGTTTACAGCAAGGTTGTTGCTTTTGCTGTGAATTTCTTTGATACCATTAAAGAAGAGGAGTTTTGCATTTCTGTGAGGTCATCCCTCTCCAACTATTTTTCTCAGTTTTCATGTTGAACCTCTTTTATCCAGAAATGGAAAATCAGGAAATGGAAATGTAAGCAAACCTGCAGATACAGATGCCAACACTTTAAATAAAGTGATTAATCCACTGGGAACTAGATTGTTGGAGTCCTGTACCGACAAGTGAAAAAAAAAGAGTGACATTTTCAATAGTCATTTAGGGAGCAAGAACAGCAATGAGGGAAAGAGCATAGAGGAAAATCTTCTGCAAGGCACACTGCTTCTCGTGAGAACACTGAGAAATAACAATGGAAGAACACGTCTTCCATGTGAATATTGACTCAGTTTTACAGGAAACTTGGTTAATCTCCAGAAGGGAAACTGAAAAAAAGGATGACATTTAATTAAAGATAGAAATAAGGAATAGTTTAATAGAGCTATGTTTCTACCAATTAGATGGGGACTATTTGAAGATGTGCACAAATACGTATGCACCCCATACACCACTCCTCCAATTCTGTATCCAAGAAAGAAATACAGAACAAGAGCCAAAAAAGACTCAATTGAACCTAAAAGGAAATGAGCATAGCTAAACAGAAGTGTGTGGAAGGGCGGATGGTGTGCTAGACTAGAAAGAATTGGATCTAGAACAGAAACATTTCTGAAGTGCACAATGGTGATCCGTGTAAGCCGGAAACACAAACACAGTACAAGGGCACAAAAGATTTTAGTTTTTTGGATGGCAACAGTGCACACAGTGTTAGGTGCTTCAGTTGAACAGACTCCTATCCCATGGAGAATTTATTCTCTCTGATTAAGATAAATCCAAACAGATGAAAAATCAAAGTAAAAAAAAAAAAAGAGGAATGGAAGGGAAAACTTTTCAAATATTATAAGCAGTTTTTTACTTTACCATGTCTTAAAACTTATGCAATACAAAATGAATCATATACTGAATCACATATGCAGAAAATGGCATTTTAAAAAGAGATTACATTATTGAATGTATCATTATTTGCTGATGAATGAAATAATGAAAATGCTAACATTCTCCTTAAACAGGAGATCTGCTCAATCTTTTTAGACAAGCCAGAGATTCAACCACATTTCAGTTAGACCTAGCAAGCAAAATTTTTCTATCAGACAGTCTTTGCTAGTTGTCAAGTGTTATTAGTCAAACATTGGCTATGGGTGTCCCAAGCTTCTCAGCAGCACTGTGGAATAAGTCCTGTCCATTGAACTATCAGTAAACGAGAAAAAAAAATTGTGTAGATGCGTGTTTGGTTGCTTTCCAAATGACTTTTAGTTAATGAGAGAGTTCTGTTTAGAGGGTATGATGTGCGGATCCTTGGGTTCAAAGTGGCATTACTAAAGATGTAAGCAGAAAGATAATTTGGTCCCTGGTTCATTCTCTAATTTGTCATTTTTTAAACAAGTATTCCCTTGAGTGAAACTGGGGAAGCTTGACAGAAGGGACTGCCTTGCATGTTGGTGGCATTCCGTAGCCTTTCTGCGTGAGCATGTGGGTACAGAGAGCAAGTTGTTCTCAATACACTCCTTGGCTCCAGAGCCATGAACATCTGGCTGAAGGTAGAGGCTCACAGAGAGTGCTTACCTCAGCCTTGGTTTGCACTGGTCAGGACAAGATGCACTGCCCAGGACGGGATGCGCTGCCCAGGATGGGGTGTGCTGACCAGGACAGGGTTCTGCCAGTGTGCTACTGCCCACAGTACATAAATGGATGATAGCTCATGCTCAGGCAGCAGAGAAATCTGTGTGTGACTCCCATGGCTCCCTCTGGGTAGCCACTCTGTGAAGCAGGGGCTGTGTGTCAGTCCTGGGGTTACAGGAACATTTGCAATCCAAGAAAGGCAAAAGTCATTGAAATGCAATACAGATATGAGTTAAACCTGAAGTCACTGACTTCAGTGCAAGATATCTTGCATTGCCTGATATCACTGTGCTGTTGTCAGAGGGGTCTGCAGCATCAAAAGAGGCAATAATACAGAGTTTAGGAAAATGAATCAGAAGGATGATTTTCCCCAAGGCTGTAGATAGTAAAATGAATCAGAATTAATTTAACTCAGAAGGGTGAAGTTCCTATTTCTCAATCCTAGGCTACAGCACAGTTGTTCCAGTTAGTAATATTGTATGTTGATCATGGCTTATGTGGCTTCTAATAAGCAAGACCTGTGTAATCTTGGCATTTCTTGTATTGCCCTGTTCAATGAGGATCAGTGTACAAGTTTGGAATTATAAGCAGTTCTGTTGTCTATGACTGATTATTACTTGCCTGCTGCTTCTTCGATAGAGACAGGATGGGTTTTTTTGGCTTTTGTGTCAAGGAGGATTGTGGGGGAGAGGGACATTGACTTGGTTGAGGTTTTAGTTCAGGGGAAAGGAAGATTTGGAGATTTTTCTCTGAGTAACAGAGTTTTAAGATGTCTGCAGGAAGTGGTGTGATGTGTATTTCTCCACCCGCCGTTCTGTACTCCAGCAAGTCATACACAAACATGTGCCCTGTGGGTAGGAACTAGTCACAGTAGCGCAGCAGTGAAATACTTGGAGGGTCATGTTGTCTACTTGGTTGATCTTTAACAGCAGGAAGTGAGGGGCAAACGAGGGTCATTTT